AAATAACAAAAAACATAAAACCAACCGTTTTGGCAGTTAAAGAGGTATCGATTCTATAGAAATGACTTTAAGAGAATCATATTGTACCTCTATGTAAGAAAATATATGCATAATGTTGTATACCTTTGACTGACACTTTGAGTAAAGTGTTTATTGGTTTTTTTTGATGGAATAATTCACTCTCCAATGTTATATATTTAATCTGATGTAATGGTACGAAAATTAAATATATAGTTTTGATACATTATGTGAGAAAGGGTTTGCATTATATAACCATTTAAACATAGTGATTTTGGTGTCACTTACATAATCAAAGGTTTTAGACCTTCAGTTCATAGTCTATTTAGGTAAAAGAATAACAGTAAATAAATTATTTTCTGTGTTGTAAATAGGATTTGAATCCAAGACACAATCACACTTTTTTTTGCTAATTTTTGTTTTTTGAGAGATAAGAAATAAATTAAAGAAAACAAACTTGAACACAATAATTCATATAAAATAATTCTTACTCGATTACCAGAACAAAATGAATAATCAACCAAGTCTTGAGTAAAATATTTGATATATTATGTGTCGCGTAAGAGGATGTGTCAAACAACACTCACAAGTTGTGTAGAAACAGATACCTATCATATGGTTAAAAATAATATGTAATTGTTCGCATTTAACAAATCTAGTATTATGTTGAAATCTGAGTCTCCCATAATTATCAAAATGTTCAGAGGCTAATATTTTTTTGATCAAGTGTCTGAGCAGATTTTGGACGATATTTCGGTCAACTACATCTTTTAATATATGCTACATTCTTTTTGGGTTAATTGAAAACTGAATTACAATCCCCACACCATCTTTGTTTCTCAATTTTTGTGTTTAGGATAGGCGAGTAAATGTTGATGACTCTAACATTTGACATTATCTTAGCAGGTTAGGGTTTTCGATTACCGTTTTCGGAAACAGAACTAGAACAGAGATAAGCCAAACGAACAAGAAAACAAAACTAAAAACATTAAAACCAAAGCTAAGCCGATCCTCCCAACGCCATTAACCTCCTATCACAAGAAATTAGATAGTTGAGATTTAATCTTATTTATTTTATATTTTTAAATCATTTTTGGCAAGTGTGTGGATATAATTTACACATCATTAATAATAAGACGTATTATATGTATTTCCCATTAAGCACCAGTGTCCAATGAATCCTATTTTATTTTTTGGTTAAATAGGAAGTAATATAATTAGATACAATAAACGATAATGGTAAAAACTAGACATTCAATGAATTATTAATTTTTCTTGCTTTGGCTAAATAATAAAAATCTATGTTGTTAATAATATGCAATATGTAAATTTGAATTCTGAGGTGGTAAAGCAACACTATTATTAGTACATATCACTTTAGTATATGTCCATATGCCTTATATTATTCTTAATATTATTTATTATTTTTGTAATAGATGATATTAGCCCGGTGATTACCAAATTTCATCATAGTAGTTACATATATAAATATTATAGTATTATACTCGGAAAAATTAAAACAAAGATATAACATTTGTACAAAACTAGCTAGTATTGTTAATATGGATAGCTATTTTCCCAATAAATGTGAGATAAACGATTTAAACTCGTGAAATCTAACTAAATGGAACTTTTTGAATGCTATGTGAAAATATATTTTATTTGTCCTAACTTTTTGTATTGTTTGCATATATTTTGTTAGAAACCGTGTGGGTTTCATTTCATTTAAATATTTTCAAAGGAAAATTTCTATCGACAATTGGTCCATCATCCACCATGTATGAACTTTTTGGTGGGTCGTCAATATCAAAATACAACCTTATCATTTTTTTCAAAGATCTTTTAGATTCTAAACGGTCATTATCAAACAAAAACAAAACAAAAAGAACCTAAATTTATGTTACTATAATTTCATGTTACTAGTTAATATTGCGAATAAAAACTCTAAAAGACTGTAACAGCCTATACAAGTGGTATTATATAATTTCCATTACTTTTATCTCCCAAGATATCCTTTGTTAGAAAAGTGACAACTTAACATTACAAATTTTTAAAATGGTAGAAAATAACAGATGTAATAAAATTATTCAATATTCATATTTGTAAGTAAATGTTGATGTTTATGTTTTTGAATAAATTCATATTTCTAGAAAAACATTTTTCATATTATCTATACATCATTAATCAAAAGAGAACAAACAGAAACCAAAAGAGAAGAAAAATCATATGCCACAAAAAGGCCTACTAGAGCCTGTCTCGGCCCATACACTGAAAATGGGCCTATGGAAAATTAATAATTAAAAATTAAAAATGCGTCTGCCGGGAGTCGAACACGGGTCTATTGCTTGGAAGGCAATTATCCTAACCGTTGGACTACAGACGCTTTTGTATAAAATTTGTTTAATATGTAATATACTTTAATTTGCTTTTCAATCATAGAATTAAACTATTACAATGCCTTTTTTTTTTTTTGAATAAATGTAAAATTTTGTTCAGTCCAAAAAAGTCTTTTAACATCAGATGCATCCTTATTTTGAAAAAATAAATAATAGCTAAATATTATAATTAAGAGTGAGTGTTAAACCAAACTTGAAGGCCATCAGCATATTTGTGAGAGTGTTGTTGCAACAGTTAAATTGATTGTTTAGGTTGTTAATAGTTTGATCAACATAGAAAATGCAAGTAACGTTGGTGATTAAATTAACAAAAAAATTATCATTGGTTTTTTTTTTTTGTACACATAAAAATTCATACTAATTACAAAATTTTATATAAACAAGGACTCAACAACGAAAAACACAAAGCCGGAATATATAAAAAAAACAACATTACAAAATAACATCGTAAAACTGAGATAGAACAATTAATGTAAAGAGCATATCACTCGAGAAGGAAGATTCACAATTCAATAAGGTTTTTCTGTGATGCCCTCCATCTAATCCATAAAGGAAACAAGTTATAAACATGTCCACAAGATTTAAAAAAAGAAGTAAAAACCATGATTAGTAGTTAAATTTAATTAATTTCATTACTAATACCTTGATCATAGCCAAAAGAGACACTAACTCAGATACTATATCATCATCTTACTATGGTTGAATTTGGTAACATGAAAAATATTATTAGTTTCAGTTTCCATCCAAATGGTTGAATGAGCTTTTACTGATATTTGTCTTTTGTGGTTCATTATGTAATCAAATATTTGAATATTATGCAACCATTATAGTTAGTAAACACATATTTACACGAAAATCCTTTAATTATTATATATTTTGTTTTGAAATCTTAAATTTGAACCTATATTATATATTTGCTATTTTTTATATTGGCATAGATTTTACTTATGTTTTGCCTAGTTTTTGTTATATTTTTTTTCTCCTTTTATTTTAGTACTTTTAACAGTTATAATCTATCAATAGAGTTATAGTAGTAACTAAAAACAGTTTATTCTTACAAGGCATCAGAAAGAGAGAAAAAAAACTTAATTTTATGTTTTATATTTAATCGTATATTTCAAATTTTATGATCAATCTAAAGAACAATTAGTGGTTATTGTTGGTTTGCTAGTCGAGGTCATATTTTGAGGTGTTTTCACTAGTATATAAATTTCCTATTACTAGGAAACGAAAGCTAAGCAATTTTAACTTACATGGGTGCCAAAAATAAACACCTGGTGGATCCCTATGTACTTATGAAGTTATGAACCAACGTGAGCCGAACCTCATAGACACCCATATCCCATGTAGTTGAACCAGTCCAAGAAATGTGCATATCCCAAAGGAAATCTGTAGAACAAAAAACAAAATTTGAATCTAAATTAACTCATGTTTTTATTTTCCAAAATCTGTATTAGAATAAAAGATTTACAAACATAAATATGTTTTGTAAATCTCATGTTTTGGATTTTACATTATATATGTGAAAACATTGTTTTTGACAACTTGATAGAACAGATATGGGAGCCATTAACAACTTTGCTTCTCATGGACTCGGTTAACATTGTGATCTTCTTACCATTTTCTTGTTTTTGATTTTTTTTTTCCTGGAATTATTGTTATTTCAGACCTAAGTATCAAGTTGTTTTATTTTTGAACAACTCCAGTTATCATTCAAATTTAATTTAAACTTATTAACTTACTTGCGTACATTAGTAAAATGATGGAACAATACCAATATATATAAGATAAGTGTTACCGATACCTTATAGAAAGCTACAAAGTTTATGAAGAATTTCTATAATAAATTAATAAGAAGATAACTAAATTCATCAGGTCAGTGATAATTAGTTAAAGTTTTTAAGCAAAAATTACATATACATCACTCGAAATAAAGATAAATATTGGAGTGCATGTCCATAAGCGAACCTTAAGCACCATGTTGAAAAATTGATCTTTCATTTTAAAAGATTTAATCAATAAAGTTTTGCCTTATAACAATACATGAGAAAAATCAATTGAAAAAAACTGACATGGAAAGGAGTCATATAATTTTAGTTTTGCCAACCAACTTGACTCTAATAAGATAAAAGATGGGTTACAAATTTGGTTTGATCCAAAAAACTTAAGTGCTAGAAGACTTTTGGTTTTTCAATCTTCTTTGAAATATGAACATATATAATTCTCCATTCATTTTTTTTCGAAAAAGGTTAAAATGCATCAAGTATACCAAATAGTCTCATGTAGTCTCTAGCCAACAAATACATGAGAAAAATCATTTTCTTATTTTTCCCAACTCCTTTTTGCTTTTGAGAGCCGTTGCCACAAAACGAACCATACTCCAAAACCTACTTTTAAAAATCACTTTCTCTTCTTTTCATTGTTTTTTTCTCTTTGGCTCTTGCTTCTTCGTTTCCCTCCAACTTTTCTCTTTTTCACTATCTCTCAATTTTCAAAAAAAGAATCTTCTTCTTTGTTTTTGAAGTTCGAACAAAATGTATATGCACTTTTATTTACTTTGTTTTCAATTTTGACACTACTCTTGTTGTTTCTTTAGTTGTATGAAATTTCTAGTATCAAGAAACTGAGAGGAGGATGATGAAAAGATCTCCATTTAGTTACAAGATGAGGCATAGTCTCTCTGATATCACTAACTCTCAGCCTCACCAAGAGCTTAATACTGGTTTCGAATCACGTGAACACGTAAACCGGCTAATGAAGGTTACTTTCTTCTCATCCTTGTTTTCCTCTAAATTCTCTTCAATTCTTTTTTCCATTGACTAAACTCGATTTCGACAGGAGAATATAGCATTGGTTAAGCTTCTTGAGGATAGAGAGTATCCTTTTGTTCTATGTAGCTTCAGTTTTTGGTAATTCAAGAAAATATCATTTTTTTTCTTTAACTATAATAGTAAAACGATTGAGCTAAGTAGATATGAATTGCGGAATCTACGCGAAGGCATGCACAATTTGCAAGTACAAAATCTGAGCCTTGCACAATCCAATTCCCAATTCGTAGGCGTAAGATTCATCGTCCCTTTCGTTTTCTTGATTTTCTTTTCGGTATATTGAGTCTGATCATTAAAGGTTTTGTTTGCAGGAGATCAATTTAGCCAGAACCAAGGTGAAATGAAACCACAAACTCTCTCTGGTCATTTGTTTTTGGGGTTGCATTGCTTTGTCTAAGATTTTATAATGTCTCAGGTGAAAGCATTGCACCATGAGGTTAACTGCAAAAATGCTCTGCTTAAGGCTAAATTTTGGGAACAAGAGGTTTGAACATGTTTTGTCGTTTCTCTTATTCATTTTAAAGTAAACTAAAGTTGGATATGTCATATGTGTTGACATTTATTAAAACAGAGAGGTGAAAAAACACAACCAAGAAATGCACTATCAACTGAGAAGGTGATAAATACATCGGACGAAGACTCATCATTAGAGACACCATCACCGAGACCTTTTGTACCAAATAGAAGGCGATTCATCAGAAGCAAATGTATATACATTTTCTTGTTTAGCCTATAACTATTGTCACTACATTCATTTCTTTTTGATTGATAATTCTATATACATCTTGATGGTTTTATTTACAGCCATAGGAGCATCTACTACACACAAGATTGAGGCAGAAAAGGAGAAATCTGAAACCAAAAGGTTTTCACTTAAACCCTTTAAATTCATGTTTCGCTACGCGATATGGAGTCTTGATCGTTATGTTACAGGAGGCGGTCAAGAAGGAGAACAGCTAGAGTGAGATCAGCAACGTACGAAGAAACAGAGAATCTATTTGAGATTGAAGATCTTGAGCTTACTATGCCACCTAATGAGATATGTCGACAAGATAAACCGAAAATGGCCTCGCATACTCGAAAGAAGGAAGATTTACGAGCAATACATCAAGATTGTAAGGTCCATAAATCACCAGTCGATCAACCATTGCGTAGAGCAGCTGAGAAGATACATCCTTATATGTCGTTCGTTACTAATATGAGAAGGTCCTAATACATTGGTAGAGAAAATGTTTGTAATGCGACCGTTTTGTCTTGAGAGTTACTAGCTACCAATCTCTAGACACATTTGTACTTATTGGTACGAAATTTCACTAACATATTTATTGATATGACCTTAGAACTTCGTTAATTATCAAGGTGGTGACTTACCTTGTGTATATGTTGGACTTAGCCTGTTGGCCCCTTGGGTTTAATTTCAATTAATTTATGGCCAAAAGTATACTAGACTTAATTTCAGTTAATTTAATTTAAACAAAAGTATACTAGAAATTTCATTTCTTTGAATTCAACAAACTAATTTTAAGAAAATAAGTGTTGGTTTACTTTGATCTCTCATGCATTTTGTAACTTTGTTTGTATGAGAGTTCTACAATTTTTCCGACATCTTCTGTGTTCAAAGGACAATGAATGAAGTTCATCATTATAAATCGAAAGACAATAGTTTTTCATCAATTTTTTTTATGATTTTTATATATGTACTATATAAAATAGTTTAGTTGGTAGGCGATAACTTTTCAATGTATAGTCACATTTTTTTTGTATCTAATAGTGTACAAAAAAAATTATACAGTGGGATACATCATCTATTTAAGACACACGATTTCATTGTTCTAAAGCATAGCAACATGAGTTTGTTTTGGATAATAGGATTGTGGGTTATAGCCTTAGTGGTTTTGAGGATTGGACATTGGTGGTACCGATGGTCCAACCCTAAAACTAATGGCAAGTTACCTCCGGGATCAATGGGTCTTCCCATCATCGGAGAGACATTCGATTTCTTTAAGCCTCATGGATTTTATGAGATCAACCCATATCTCAAGAAAAAGATGTTGAGGTCAGATTTTACTTTCTCTCTATATCTATACACAATTTATATATAGGTTATTTATGTGTGTTGTAAATTTGTAATGAATGTCTTAGGTATGGGCCTTTGTTTCGGAAGAACATTCTTGGAGTAAAAACCATTGTTTCGACGGATAAGGATGTTAACATGGAGATTTTACGACAAGAGAACAAGTCGTTCATTTTAAGTTACCCGGATGGTTTGGCGAAGCCATTGGGAAAAGATAGCTTGTTCTTCAAGATAGGAAACATCCACAAGCACATGAAACAACTAACCCTTCGTCTATTGTCCTCCGAGGGTTTGAAGAGGAAAATATTAAAAGATATGGACCGCGTAACACGAGAGCATCTTCGTTCTAATGCTAGCAAAGGAAGATTCGACGTTAAGGAAGCAGTTTCAAGTGTACACATAGTCTATCTTTTTACCATTTTTCTTAATGTTGGAATTAGTCTCACACTCTTTAGTCTCTTTTTTAATCTTTGTAGTTGATAATAGCCCACTTGACACCAAAGATGATAAGTAATCTCAAACCAGAGACTCAAGAAAAGCATATGGGAAATTTCAAGGCCTTTAGTTTTGATTGGTTTCTAACATCCTATATCATCTCTGCTGGGAGGGGTCTTTACAATACTATTTGGGTGCGTTTGTTTCTTTCTTTTGTTAGCATTCTCGAGAAAGTAACTAAGTAACTAACTATAATGTTCTAAGCAGGCATGTAAAGAAGTAATCCAAGGGATAAGGGATATCTACGCGAGGAGAAGAACATCAAATGAGAAGTACGATGACTTCCTCAACACGGCAATAGAGGAGTTAGAGAAAACAGGAGGATTAGTGAACGAAGCTGCAATTGTAGCCCTCATCTTAACTCTTTCATGTATCACTCAAGATACTACATCTAAGGCCACTTGCTTGGCTGTGAAATTCTTATCGGAAAACCCTAAAGTTCTCGCAGAGTTAAAGGTAATAATGCATATGGATGATGGAGTGATAAGCTAGTAAAATAAATATGAAAGTGATAGTAGTAATGGTTCAAGATCTTTTTGCATGTGTCTATGAAGAATTTGGCAGAAAGAGCATGAGGCAATCCTTGAAAGCAGAGACGACAAAGAAAATGGAGTTACTTGGGAAGAATATAGACACAAGATGACTTTCACCAACATGGTACCTTTAGTTTACTAATATATGGCTAAGACAAAATTTTTATCAGATTAGGTATATACTCACTTGACACTTTATCTACACTTCCTAGGTTATCAATGAGTCCCTTCGGATAACGAATCTGGCTCCTATGATGTTTAGAAAAGCGGTGAAAGATGTCGAAATCAAAGGTAAATAGTACTTAGGTACTCATTTGACACTACGAAAATTGTATATATATTACAAACAAATGATGTTAATACATTTGTGGACATCTTTGTATCAACAGGATACACGATTCCATCAGGTTGGATAGTAATGATTATACCTTCAGTGGTTCATTTCGATCCTGAAATCTATGAAAACCCTTTTGAGTTTAATCCATGGAGGTGGGAGGTATTGCACACTAGCTAACTTTAGTCTACATATTTTATGTTTTATTAGTTGTAACATTTTATATACATTATGTTGATGATAAATCTGGTGTACAGGGGAAAGAGCTGCGGTCAGGGTCGAAAACTTTCATGGTGTTTGGAACTGGAGTTAGGCAGTGCGCTGGTGCAGAGTTTGCTAGGCTTCAGATTTCAATTTTCCTTCATCATCTTGTCACCACTTACAACTTCTCGTTATCCCAAGACTGTGAGGTTGTTCGTGTACCTGGTGCTCATCTTCCCAAAGGCATCTCTATAAACATCTCCAAGTGTGCCAAATAACTTTGAATCAAAGACATTGCCTTATCAATTCACACCATTGGTAAAAATAAATGTGAATTTAATACCTTATGTACTTGTTTGTCCCACACCCTGTGTAAGGATTGTCGTGAAATGTAATAGTTTTTAAAAATATATTGTTATATTGTTATAAAATATATAGTATTAATATTATAAGACCTTTCTATAAAAGAACGTGCTATTATATTTATAGCATGCCATATCTCGTCGTGACTTGTAACTTTGGAGAAGAAGAGACCATGATTAACGGGATAGTCTTACTTGTTTCTTATATATTTTGATGATTAAAATTAAATGATTAATAATGTTAAATGGTAAGAAACGTTTCTTGGTCAAGAGTTAATATTAACCTTAAGAGACGCATACGTGTCAATTTCTTAGTGGTTGAAGAAGAAAAGAAAAAAAAGTGGAGAAAAAGCTTCTTCTTCTCTCTCTCGCATGTCTCTCTCCCCAAAGCTGAACTTGTCATCTTCTACTTCACATTTTTTTTTGTCATCTGATGATATTGATAATACTTGGAAAGATACAACATGAAATACAAACTAAGCCGGCGGAAAACAAAGATATCCCCGGAGTCTAAAGCCCAAACAAGGGAAACTAAGCCGGCGAACAAAGGAAAGTCCCCGGAAACTACAACTAATCAATAGAAACAACTAAAAATACAAAACAAAAGATTGAAAGCCAACAACAAAAGAGATCAACACCAAAAACTAAGAACAAGGCAAACAATAACCAACCGAAGATAAGCACGAGATCTAAGCCACCAACACGATCTTTTCTTTTGAAGTCACTGTGAATGAGAACAATCAATGCTGCCCACGGCCAACCCATCGATAACAACTGCTTCCTCCTATCACAAAGAGAGAAGAACTCTCGAAACCAAGGCTTCATAATCTGGCAAGTAAAGGCCTAAAACAGAACCCCATAAAACACTTCCAAATACGGCGAAGACGACATCGTCAAATAACGCCTAGATAAAAGCCATAAACAAGCAATCCGACATCCTCCAGATTCGGAAACGCAAGAGACAAGGAGCGAAACATAACCACCTCAATGAATTTCGAAAAACTAAACTCATTATCAGAAGTTATCATCACCAGCAACTTCCACCCAAGAGCAGAACGAAAAGAAGCCAAAGAGACAAGAACAAACTTCACACAACAAAGGCCTCTTCTTAGAAAGGAGATGATCTAAAGGGGAAAACCATAAGCTAAAACTAGGCAATAAGGATGAATAGAGGGACAAGGCAATGTGAAGACTGATTACAATACTTACACAAACCAAACCAGCGGCATCAAAACAACATGAAGAACAAGAGCTAGAACTGATCAAGGTTGTGAGAAAATAACAAAACAGTGGCTAACCCGATGATCACAGACCCGGGACCAACCTCACAAGAGCCACAAACCACACAGATCCTAAGTGCTAAACCGCTCCCCCTAACACCCAAAATCACAACCCGTTTAAACTAAAGAGAATCCCAATTGAACGCCATCAACAACATTAAACTAACCCACAAAACTAAAGTAAAGGAAAGGAAAAGAAGAGGGAGACCGAAGCCGGTGCTAAAAGAGCCACCGCACTCCGGTCTCAAGTCTGAGTTTTCTCGGCGGCGGCTAGGGTTACACGAGAGAGAGAGAGAGCGACCTTTGGTTTTTTTTTTCTTTTGTATTGTATATTTGTTGATCTTCTACTTCACATTCATCTCGCTTCTTCCACGTTATTATATACATAATAAAATTATAATTGTAATTTTTATGCAATTACATTGTACATAATTAATATCACATAAATTTTATTTCACGATTCATAATTTATCATTTTCTCAAGGATGATTAAAATTCAAAAGTTAAATTTTTGTTTTAGAAAAATAAGCAATTTATTATGTTTGATTTACAAGAAAGAGCAAATTAATACTAGAGATATTCTCAATTTCTCATATATATTTTAAATTTTAAATTTGTAATAATTAATAAGTTTTATAAAATTACAAATTTTAGTTCATTTCATTTTTGAAGAATTATTTTTTTTTTTTTTTTAAGAACATCAAGTTAAGAGTCTACCATTAAAAATACATAAAAACTAAAATCAAAAATCTAACTCTTAACTTTAAACTTTTCAATTTTATTACTAAATTATTCTTAAGAGAATAGCTTAAGAACTCATCAATAATCATACTCTAAAGCCACATTACTTTCTTTTGTATAAGAATTTGCATGTGTGTGCATGAGACCAACATTATCAGCAAAATCTTAAGGGGTATCTTAAGGCAATATACCCTTAAGAAAACATCTTGCACAAGATACCCTTTAAAATCTTGTTGATAATGATGCTTGAGGTCGCCACATACATATATGACTACACTGTGAACACTGAACAATATATTAAAACATGTTTAAATTACCGTAATGTGACAAGTTGGTTATGACATATATCACAACAATGACATGTGATGTATCTACTTCAAGACATCGATTTGACAGTTCTGAAACGTTCAAATAATTGGTCAGGAATTCTTACAAGTTACAAGTTTTGAAAATAATATTTGTTGAAAATAATTAGAGTATGTAATGTAATTATGAACGGATCCACCATACATAATAAATTCCGTTGTGAATTATCATTTAGCTTTGCAAACTCATGGACGGATCTACCATCCAGAGCCGTGCACACATAGGAGGAAAAAAAGCAGCCGCTTCTGCCATCAGACTTTTAAAAAAATTCAAGGGCATATATTTAATAGTGGCATATAGTTTATTCTAAGTAAAAAATTTATAAATATAAAAAGATGTGATTATCAATTATATCTTACAACGTTGGTACTCAAATGTGAAGAGAATGTGGAAAACAATATGGGCTCATTTTTTACACTTTAGTTTTAAACATGGGTTTATAATATGTTAATCATTTCTTTACAAGATTAATCACACATATACGATTAACTAAATAATACGACTGCATTCCTTTCTTTATAATAAAAAACAAAAATAGTTAGAATTACAAATAGATATTTGCCAGCTTTACTATACAGTGGCTAACTTTTTCTTCAACATTTTTCATCAAATTGTTTATGTCAAAGTTTCATGTTAAACTTAATTATGTTTTATTTTGCTATTTCGATTTACTCTGTTTTCGTTAAATATTTTTCGTATTTCTAGAATTGCAAGTAATCATCGTGTTTTGTAACATTATTATTTTAAAAGCTTGGTTAACAATTTTGTGTAGAGAAAGAAAAATAATATGTTTAAGACCTTATATTTTGTTTTATTTTTTATTTATATGATAAATATGTTAATTTGTGTAAACACTTTTTTTATGTGTAAACTAAATTTTTTTTTGCTTCTGATACTTATTAAGCTTCGCACGGCTCTGCTACCATCCACGATAATTATGGACGGATCCACCATCTACGATAAGTTTCACCCACCATAAATAAAAGTATTTCATATTCACCAAGAAAAGAAGTAAGAGTATTTCATTCTTCAAAAAAAATCTTCTAATTAAATGAGTATTTTTAAAAATAAAATACAAGGAATATGAGAGATCATCTATCTTTAAGAAGACATATATTTTAGGCCATTATTTCTCTTCTTTTACAAAAAAAAAAAAAAAAAAAAAAAAAATCCGATAACATAGAAATGTTTGAACATTGATGGGCCAAAGTATTGTCCACGAATGTGATTGAAGTAATTGGGCCATTTATAATCGGTTCTATCGTCTTTAAAGCCCCATTGTGATCTACCCAATAATTCAGCTTATGCCGTGTGTGATAAGAAAATATTTTCCCATATGTATCATTGTTTTGTTTGCATATTAACAATTTATTTCTCTTTCTATAATTTATTCAGTCTTACGTTTTATTCTGTAGAAACTAGAATAATAGTTCATACTAGTTAAACAACTTCTTAAAACTATCATTACTAGTTATAATATTTACTAAATCCATCCTCTTGTAAAACACACACAATATTTTTTAGTTTAGTTAAAATACAAAAACCAATAACCCCCACTTTAAACATGTTTTTATATAGAAACATACATATTATATAGCTTTGAACAAAACTTTTGTAGTTGACGTACTCCCAATAGAAACTTAAGTTGGAGAATCCAAATTGCATTTTCCTTCAAGCCTTATATCACAAATTCATTAACCACGTAAATCACGATTCTAGTTCCTCAATACATTTATGTCGAAAACGAAACTACACATGAAATCATCTTTTCTAAGATATGATGATGCTCAGTGTCGGAGTTCTTTAAACCACACACGTCAAGCTATTATCTTCGTGGCTCCTTCATGTTTCACACACAAATCATTTTTTTTTTTGTCTTTTTGTATATAAAATAAGTTTATACCATTTATAGTTTTATCTATAAATACTCAACGTATACAAACAAGTTACACACATCATTAGAAAAAAGACAGTACTAGGATCAGAGCTGTATGATCCCTTACATAAACTAAACTTATCACTCTAGCTCTAAAAACATCACGATGCCACGTGTTGTTTTCTCGGAGAACAATGATATATGTCCTGTCGGATCACCTTCCCTCGCCGAGTTGTTAAAAGACTGCGATAGTTTCCGGAAGGAAGATTTTGGCAACCGAGCCGGAAGCGAAGATCCTGCTCATTACACGATAGATGTCGAAGCCTTACACGTAGAACCAGTACCGTTCGTCTTAGCCTTTAACAATCTTGAATATGATGTCACACTTCGCCGAGGGATTGGTTTCTCACGAAAAAGCTCTGTGAAAAAGACTCTACTCGCTGATGTTTCCGGTGAGGTTTGTGACGGCGAGGTTCTTGCCGTTCTTGGTGCAAGCGGAGCAGGGAAGTCCACTTTGATCGACGCGTTAGCAGGGAGGGTTGCGGAGACGAGCTTGAGAGGCTCAGTAACACTTAACGGAGAGAAGATTTTGCAATCTCGGTTGTTGAAAGTGATATCAGCGTATGTGATGCAAGATGATCTTCTTTTCCCAATGCTTACCGTTAAAGAAACCCTAGTTTTCGCTTCGGAGTTTCGTCTCCCAAGAACCTTGTCCAAATCCAAGAAGATGGAACGTGTTGAAACCCTAATTGACCAATTAGGGCTCAGAAACGCGGTGGATACTGTGATCGGAGATGAAGGACACCGTGGAGTCTCTGGTGGAGAGAGACGCCGTGTTTCAATAGGGATCGATATTATCCATGATCCGATCGTTTTGTTTCTTGACGAACCTACGTCGGGGCTGGACTCAACCAACGCTTTTATGGTGGTGCAAGTTCTTAAACGAATAGCTAGGAGTGGGAGTATTGTGATTATGTCGATCCATCAACCTAGTGCTCGTATTATAGATTTGCTTGATCGTCTTATCCTCTTGTCTCGCGGCAAGAATGTGTTCAATGGATCTCCAACGAGTCTACCTCAATTCTTCAATGAGTTTGGTTATCCCATCCCTGAGAAAGAGAACATCACGGAGTTCGCACTTGATTTGATTCGACAACTCGAAGGATCCAATGAAGGAACCAAAGAGTTAGTAGAATTCAACGAAAAGTGGCAGCAGGACAAGCTCAAACTCAGCCAATCCGCTCGGGCCACCCCACAAACCACGTCTCACCCAGGCTTATCTTTAAAAGAATCAATCAATGCAAGTGTTTCAAGAGGTAAACTAGTCTCAGGCTCATCTGGAGTCAATCCCATTTCCATGGAAACAATATCTTCATATGCGAATCCATTATTTTTTGAGACAATCATCTTAGCCAAACGGTACATGAAAAACTGGATCCGGATGCCTGAGCTCATCGGAACACGGATCGCTACCGTCATGGTGACTGCTATTCTCTTAGCCACCATGTATTGGAAGCTAGACAACACTCCAAGAAGTGCAGAAGAGAGATTGACATTATTCGCGTTCGTCGTGCCAACAATGTTCTACTTGTCTCTAGACAATGTCCCAGTTTTTATTCAAGAACGATACATTTTCTTGAGAGAGACAACGCGCAACGCGTACAGAACATCTTCTTACGTCATATCTCACTCTCTTGTGTCCTTGCCTCAGCTCATTCCCCATTCCTTTGTATTTGCGTCGATCACATTCTGGACTATTGGGTTAAGCGGCGGGTTAGAAGGTTTCTTCTTCTATTCTCTCATAATCTATGCCTCATTTTGGTCAGGAGCCTCTCTCGTTACCTTCATATCTGGCGTTGTTCCCAATATCATGATAAGTTACATGGTCATTATCTCCTATGTCGCCTATTGTTTACTGTTGAGTGGGTTCTACGTCAACAGAGATAGGATACCAATCTATTGGATATGGTTTCATTACATTTCACCGCTCAAGTATCCGTACGAGGCTGTCTTAATCAACGAGTTTGATGACCCGTTACGTTGTTTTGTTAAAGGAGTCCAAGTATTCGACGGTACTCTTCTCGGAGGTGAGTCTTATTCCAGGAAGATTAAGCTCCTTGAAACTCTTAGTAGATCTTTGAGAAATAATATAACGGAGTCCACATGCTTAAGGACAGGGCCTAACTTACTTACACAACAAGGTATCACTCAATTAAGCAAATGGGATTGCTTGTGGATCACGGTAGCTTCAGGTTTCCTCTTTAGGATCTTGTTTTACTTCGCCTTGCTGTTTGGGAGCAGAAATAAAAGAACATGAATTTAATATTCCCCCTCAAACATTTGTGTGTATTAGCTTCTAAGTATAAGCTTATCGTTATTGTAAGTTTGTATTCAAGTTGTAACTTTATGTAATCGTTTCATCATATATATAGTATCTTTCTGGAATATTTCAAAATAAAAAGATATTTTCTTTAAAATCCAAATTATCGATTGAAACAAATGGAACACAAAAGTGCTTACATATGAAAACCACAAAATTGGTATATTTTACCATTTCTTTATGGGATCATTTTACCAAATCCATAATACCTATTATATTAAAAGAGAAGTACACAAGGGATTCGGGTCGGGTTTTTTTTTGAATTCTGGGTTATTTTTACAATTGAATACTTGCTATAATTTCAATATAAATTTCAATAGAGGTTTTTCAAATAAATATATCGCACATTTAATTGTTTTCTATAACAATGCCTAATCTTGTGCTAACCAATATTATCAATATTAGAAACAGAATATTCTATGCATACAAAAAGATTGAATAACATATTGTCAACATACGTCGCTAAACATACATATACTAGATAGCTAATTCTAAAATTTACACATATGAAAAGTTTATCTTAAAACATTGTTAAAATAGGTTTTTGTAATAAAAATTCAAAAACACACACACATATATGACAATGCTTTAAATGTTAATAGTTTACACACAAATATATCTTCTCTTTTTATATAATGTATTTATATTAAAAGAAAAATGCGAGACTTTTCCCCCGCTCTGTAGCGCGGGTCACCATCTAGTTGAATCCATTATAAAGTGAGCACTATTGAGTATGCATGCCTTAAAATTTTGAATAAGGATGATGTACTATGTAGTTTTAGATTGAATGGTCAGATGATTTTGTGACTTTTCTTGGAGTCCAAATAAAACGATCCATCTTACTCAACTTACTATACAGTCGGTAGAAACATGATTTTTTTAATGTGGTGGACTTTTCTGATGTTTGACTGGTAACAAAACCTGGTCGTCCGATATATTAACTTCTAAGAGTTTGCCATTTCTTACTTTTCAAATATACTATAGTACCGATGGAACATTAGAAATACACACAATAATTGGTGTTAACTAAACACATTTCAATCGCTTAGACTTTAGAGATGATGACACTTTATGAAGAGAGATAGCTAATTGTCATATCATATATATAAAATATAATATTATGCATGCATGCACACGTCATTTATATCAGTATACTCCATCAAATTAATTCTAATATACATGCATACATCAATACTAATATAGTTTTTAGTTTTGTCAAAATTACCTGTCAAAAGTGTAACCCGAGCTAACTAGTATATATATGTGTATTAATTATAGACAGAAAAATGAATAATTTATAATTGTGTGTATTATTATAACATGATTTTTTTTAATTTAAAATGAAAAAAAAATTGCTTTGTAAATTACAAAGTAAAAATTTTGGTAGAAAATAGACAAAGCAAATTTGACTAATCAATGGAAAGAAAAAATCAAAGTTTCTGTACATAATTAATTAATATCGAACCACTTAAATAGACAACTAAATTTAAAGCATTGAAAATAAGAATTAAGTTGGAGCCACTAAACCCTAAATGTGTACTTCAAAAGAAAATAACACTAAAGAAATGTATGTTATGTTATAAATGTTATAAAGTCTCATGACTGGTGGATCCACATATACATTCAATATAGCCTCCACTCCACGCAACTGCCTCTACCATTAATTTTGCTAGAAGTCTATTTTAATCACAAGCCTCTTCATTTAACATGTGCTCTTTACACATCTTCCTCTGCATCACACATGTATTTTCTCCTCCTTCAGCTACCCACTTGTGCTTATCACATAACCAATTTTTGAAAGCCAACTCATATTTTGGAAGAATAATATTATTCATAGAGACAGTAAAGAGCAACTAAATAGGGTATATTAACTTTAGTGAAGAGTGACCATCTCATTTTTTGTTGTGGGATAACCTTTAGTGATATGGGGTCAGCATCAAACTGGACTACAAGACTAACTTAGGCTCGGAATTGCAACTAATTTGGTTTAGATGCTACATGAAAACATAAGCAAACTATGTATAGAAATTGTAAAATAGTCAATCCAAATCTTAAAAAAAGAAATTAAATTCTAGAAAATTATTTAAAATGTAATATTAGTGCTATTTTTGGACATTTGTGGAGTGTATGCTATAATTGTCCATAAAACATTTTTGGTGCTATTTGAGGGTATTTTTCAAAAATACATCCGTATAGGTATCGGCTGTTTTTTTTTACCGATATATATTCCCTTAGGCTCAACTATAGTTGAAACTTCTGGAACAAAGATTCTTGAAAAAATTATACAGAAAACTGGAAGTGTGGTCATGGACCGACACCAATCCTGTTTTAGTGTTTTGCTCCAAATTGCTCTAAAATGCTCCAATATATCCTAAATCGTGCTCGTACCTACGATACCTCCAAAAAATACTCAACGAGTTTTAAAATAACTTTTAAATTTCGTACACGATCGAACAATATCCTAACCAAACGTACATGAGCCAGTTCCATTCAAAGGCATTTTTGTCTAAATATTTCAAAGTGGCTAATTAGTGAAAGGTGCTTCTGAGTTCTGACTTTGTTAAAAACGTATCCAATGGTTGTATTACCCATAAATACAATATGGTTTTGTTAATTAATTCTTCGGGCACAAGCTAACAACGTTTGCAATTTTGAATCTAGAAAGCTTAAAAGTTCAAAGAAGCATTTAAAAAAAAACAAAAATTAATTAATATCTCAAAGGAAGACGAAGGAGATGAGAAAAAAACGTGAATCTTGTACAACTTTACTAATGGCTTCTAATCAAGCAAATTGGTACGTACTCGGATTCATGCGTCGTTCATGGCTACAAGCAACAACGAATCAGGTCGTGTTTTAGTCCAAAAGGTCTAAGTCCATCATTATTCATAGTCTTTTAACAAATCTTAGCTCTATGATTTGTTAAGAGATGTCGCTTATATAAGAAGTTTTCTTAACAAATTTTGTTAAGAGACTATGGATAATGATGCTTAATCTCTTATGTCCCTTACGTCTAGGGCTTTTCCGGTTTGAGTTTTATACCGTTCTAGAAGAATTTGGTGAGTTAACTCCACTATGATATTAATGTCCAAGTTTTGACCTCTTAACTTTATCTTTCTCTCTATATATCTGTCTCTCTTTAGAAACCGATATTCGAATATTACGCGGAAATGGAATGATGAACAGAAGAAATACACAACGAGTTTATTATATACCATGACAAAAATAAAAGTTCGCAGAACATGAGATTACATTCGAGAGGGGGGCAAGCAAAGATAAGCTTTGCCCTTGCTGTTTTATTTGGAAGCAAAATAAACTTGAACACAAACACACACAAATGTCATGTCCTCACACAGAATGGAAACAAAATTCACACTTGATACTTATATGATAATAAGGCTATTTCAAGCCTTTTTGTAGCAGTGGCAGTGAAGGTCAGTTCCCTCAATAACCGCCCAGCAGACTGGAGGAGAACCGAATAAGCCTATGCAACAAGTACAACAATTAGCATTTGTGGTTCCGTGAGCACTCGGGCACTCTCCAAGGAACACACGTGAAGCGGCCGTAGTACATCCACCAGCACCACATGATTGAGCGTTGGTCTTAAGGATTCCTAGATGTTGACATATTCATCAGAACAAGATAATTAAGAGAAAACTGCAAAGTACAATACATAAATGAGATCATAACTTTGTAAGAGTAATATTAATTATACCAGTTGATGCCATCAGAAGAACAACCAAGAGAACAGTGAAGCTGAAGGAGTTGATGAGGTTCTTTGCCATTTCTCTTCTTCTTTGCTTTGCCTTAACTTAAAACTTGTTCTTTTTGTTTTTGTTTTCGATAAACTTAAGACTTTTGATGATTGTAATTTGTAAGTGCATGTGGTTATCTATTTATACTCAAAATTTTGTAACTATGTTTTCTTTTTGTTTGATCAGTTCTCTCTTCTTTCTGATTTTCCCCAAGTTCATAATGTCGCCACAGTTACGCATGGCCGTCTTTGTTATCCTCTTTTTTTAATCATGCGCGCGCGGTCATCTCTGTATAAATCTTTTTCTTTTATATTTATTTTTCTTTAGTTTGAAATAACTTTTGTTAAAAATTGATATAGTTGTTGTTTTAGAATGACCAAGCAGGAATCTTTGCAATTTTGTAATCCAATAATGATAATGTACCTTCGTTAGTTCATTAGTTAAGTTTAGGGTTTCAAATACAACTCAGAATCATGGCGACATATCTCCTAACTACTAGTCTATATATAATAAAGATATTGGAAGGAAAAAATAATAATATGTGAGAGTATTATTCTCTCTCTCTATATATATATATATATATCTCCTAACTACTATGTTTTGTGTATTTATAAATATATATGTACGTATATATATATATATATATGAGAGTATTATTCTATATATAGTTTGTCGTACACATCATATAATTAACAAAAAAAAATTAACGCATGGTATACTGTATATTTGATATGTCTTATATTAGTTATGTTAAAAAATAATAAATAAGGATACTTAAAAAAAATATTCATTAATATAAATTTAAACTTGTTTTGTCATATAAACAACTAGTTATGTAAGTATTTAAATCAAACTTCATTAGTCTTGAAATTATTTGCAGATTTCTTATTAAAACCAATTTAAATGATTTATTGACACGCACAAATCATGGCGACATTATGAACTTGTTTAGATATGCGAAATATTTCTATAATAACGGTCCCAAGAACAAACACCTATATAAGCGAGACTATTATTATAATAACTTAAAAGTTGTTTTTTTGAATTTGTTTTTGTGGTAATTTTTCATGTTAATATTTTTATAACTATATTTTGTGAAGATATAAAACTATGATTTTCCTACATTTTATTTGCTTTCATTTTTATTATTGGGAATTACAATATAACCCACATGACTAAGAAAAATATGTTGTGATTTTTATTTTTAAACGGATATTTATTACTCAATTTATAAAGAGAAAAACATGTATTCAATGTTCCACCGGAATCATCTTCTTGAGCTCAAAAGGTTTGAAGTGGATGCTAAGACAGCCAAAGCGTCTGCTGAAATGTTTTCACTTCGTGCTACTTTAACCACTTCAAAATTACAGAACCTCTGAACAAATTAGTATGCTTCCATTCAATAGTTTTTGGCTTCGTACTCGCCATTAAACAGATAACACGACGAGCTAGGAATCACAGTATGCGACAATTTTCTGAGCTCAAATACCAAATTGCCAACCATAACCGTACAATCAAGGCTTTCGTATTTTGTTTTGTTCTTGGATTCGGGAAACAATAGCCAGAATGATTGCTCTATAATATAATTTCCATGAAACATGAAGTCATGTACACCCAAAGAGAACAAAAATTCTTACGAATAATACAAGCAAATTTCTAGCAATATAGTATAGGTTCTATCAATTTATATTTTATATTCTGATTTCTTGTTAATTATTGTTTTCGAGTGATTCAAATTTTTCGTGTTCCGCAAAGATACTTGAGGGATCCGACACCCACACATGTTTAAGGCAAAATGGATTAAACTACAAGAAAAAACACATTTCAGGACAGTTTCATAGCACCTGAAGTTTTGCATCCATTGCATTAAATTTATAGAACTTGAACTCCATGGAAATCTAAAAGATTCAAGATTCACGTCAAAGTAGAAGGAAGTTGATCCGATCAGTCAATTATTGCTTAGACCCGATTGAAGCAAGCTCGTCCAATATCGGTCACAAGGAGTGTGACTAATGGCAAGCCATCTAATGAGACCCGTCACAAAAAACATAACTGATGTGTTGCCTTCATTAGGGACAGGCCACAAGCCATGTGACCGGTCAGAAGCCCTTCGTCCTTTGCACTTCACAAACCGACTTCTTGCACCTCAAGGCCTATAAATACATGATGTGTTTATTAATTATTTCACCTTAAATACCACACAAAAAGTGCAAGTTCTTGACAAACATGGTTTTTTTTTTAATTGTGAAACACTCTAAAATTTCTATGATTCCTTGTGGTACAAGCTTCCTCTCATTGTTTGTCTTTCTGTCGGAAAGTTATATTAGTGTCGTTTACGTATTATTTGAATCTTATGTTTTTTTTATCTCTTCGTCCGCCACAAACTAAATACGTTTGCGATTTTGATTCAATAAATCTTAGAAGCTCAAAGCATTATCCACTTTGATCTTAATGTCCAATATTTTGGTCGTAAAACACACAATAGACGAACACAAATACACAAACGAGATTGATACATATGAAATTGCACAGAACATGAGATTACATTTGACAGGAGCAACAAATGATAATCTTTGCCCTTAATGTTTTATTTGGAAGCAAAAGAAAGTTGAACACAAACACACACAAATGTCTTGTCCTCAGACCAAATTGAAACAAAAGCCACACTTGGTATTTATATGAGGATGAGGTTATTTCAAGCCTTTTTGTAGCAGTGGCAGTGAAGGTCAGTTCCCTCAATAACCGCCCAGCAAACTGGAGGAGAACCGAATAAGCCTATGCAACAAGTACAACAATTAGCATTTGTGGTTCCGTGGGCACTCGGGCACTCGCCGAGGAACACACGTGAAGCGGCCGTAGTACATCCACCCGCACCACATGATTGAGCGTTGCTCTTAAGGATTCCTAGATGTTGACATATTCATCAGAACAAGATAAATAAAAGACAAGTGCAACTACAATACATAAATGAGATCATAACTTTTATAATTATACCAGTTGAAGCCATCAGAAGAACAACCAAGAGAATAGTGAAGCTGAAGGAGTTGATGAGGTTCTTTGCCATTTCTCGTCTTCTTTGCTTTGCCTTAACTTAAAACTTGTTCTTTTTGTTTTTTTTTTGGATAAACTTTAGACTTTTGATGATTTTAATTTGTAGGTGCATGTGGTTATCTATTTATACTCAAAATTTTGTAACTCTGTTATATTTGTTTGATCACTTCTCTTGTCATTCTGATTTTCCCAAGTTCATAATGTCGCCACAATTACGCATGGCCGTCTTTGTTATCCTCTTTTTTTTAATCATGCACCTGTCTTAAAGAAGTCAACTAAAAGGCATGCCATCTTTGTACACATTGTTTTTTTTTATGTTCAGGTTTCTTTAGATTTATTAAAGAAATAACTATTTTTAATCATTTATTTAGTTGTTGTCGTAGACAAAGTAAGCCAATTTTGTAATCCGATAATGATAATGATTTGCATTCGTTAGTCCATTAATTAAGTTTAGGCCTAGGGTTTCAGGTTCAACTCAGAAATCATGGCGACACTATCTCCTAACTACTACTATATAAATGCGAGAGTATTATTGTAATAAGTTTTCTTGTAAATGAGCCAAATTAAATGTTTTTTCGTACGCATCATATAAGATTTAACTAGGAATGAACCTGTACTATACCGTGTATTTGATATGTCATATTGGTAATATTAAAAAAAAGAAATGAAGATTGATTCTCTGTCAAATTGTTAGATTAATGATATTTTAATATTTTTCTTATTAATATCAGTTCAAATTTTTCTTTCATATAAGAACAATTGTCGAGTTTATGTAAGTATTTATATCAAACTTCACCGGTTTTAAGATCATTTGTAGTTTCTTATTAAAACCAAATTAGATGATATATCACACAAAAATCATGGCGACATTATGAACTTGTTTAGTTTAGATGCGCAAAATATTTCTATAATAACGCTCTGTAATACACGCCAACTATATACGCGAGAATATTATTATAATAACTTTTTCGGAAATAAGCCAACATGAAAGAATCTTTTTGATTATTTTTTTTTGGTTTTCTGGTATCATATGTGGTTTTGTATTCACCTTTGCACTGACTAACAAGCTGGAAATCATAGTATGCGACAAGTTCCTAAGCTCAAATACCGATGGCCAACCATAACCTTACAATCAAAGCTTCGTATTTGGCTTTCTTGTTGGATGTGGGAAACAATAGCCGAAATTATTGCTCTATAATTTCCATATAATATGAAGTCATGTACATCCAAACTGAAACAAAATTTTTACGATTTTTTTTTTAATAATCAAAGAGGTTCTGGGCCGAAACATATACATCCCCTCAGACCCGAAACCAAAACATGTTATATGGTCTCGTCCCAACCGCTAATCGAACCGGCGACCTCTAAACTTTTGCCAAAGATCTTTACCAATTGAGCTATTAGAACTTGGTAAAAATTCTTACGATTAATACAAGCAAATTAATTTCTAGCAATATAATTTCTCACAATTCATATTTTATTTTCAGATTTCTTGTTAATTATTGTTTTCGAGGGATCCAATCTCTCTTTTTCCACTAGAATATTTGAGTGTGGGATCTGACATCCACACATGTTTAAGGAAAAATGGACCAAACGACAAGAAAAAGTGAAAAACACATTTCAGGACAATTTCGAAGCACCTGAACTTTTGCATCCGTTGGAAATCTTCACTTGCGTTAAATTTAGAGAACTTGAACTCTATCGAGATCTTCACGTCGAAGTAGAAGCAAGTTGATCTGATCAGCCAAGATTCACAAAATGTGCAAGTTCTTGACAAACATGATTGTTTTTTTTTATTGTGAAACACTCTAAAATTTATATGATTCCTCGTGGTACAAGCTTCCTCTCACTGTTTTCACAATACGTCTCAATTCTAAATCGATAAAAAAAATTTATCATGGGACGGGGTCACATGGTGGTATAAAAATTTGGTGGTTAGTTATATAAATTTATAATATCACAATTTCATTGCTACAACACAAATAAATGATCATTTAATTATTTTGTTTATTCAATATTAGAATGTTAAACAAGTCTAATTAAGCAAATCTAATAAATTGTTGTATCTAAACTTATTAAAATAACACAAACGGGGTATATGATGAAACATGTTTGAAAGTGAATCGAGATTAACCAAACTTATCATTACTCAAACGATTGAGTTCGGATAAAATTTTCATTTTTATTATTCTTTAACATCACCAATATCAAACATATCGAATTAAATTGATTTAATTAATATTGTGTGAAACAAAATTTGTGAAATCCTAGTTAACTCTTATATAAATGTAATGTATATCATTTAATTTGGCTCATTTTCAGAGAAGTTATTATAATAATACTCTCGCACATATAGGAGGAGTTAGGAGATAGTGTCGCCATAATTGTTACGTTGTAGCTGAAACCCTAAAGTTAAACTAATGACGGCAAATCGTTATCATTTTGGGTTAAAGAATTGCCAAGATTCCTGCTTACTCTGTCTATGACAACAACAATATCAATTTTATACAATAGTTATTTCAAACTTAAGAAAATAAAATAAAAATAAGAAACAATTTATACATAGATAACTTCCAATTGTTGACCAAAAAAAGAAAAAAACTTCCAATTTTTAAAGACAAGTGCCAATTTTTAAAAAGGAGTAAATTAAATATGGCAGTGCATCATTGTGGCGACATTATGAACTTTGGAAAATAAGAATTACGAGAGAAGTGACTAAACGTAACAAAGTTGTAAAAATTTGAATATAAATATAGAACAACACATACGAATTCAAATCATCAAAGTTTGAAGTTAATCCAAAAGAAAAACAATAAGAACAAGTTTCAGCGAAGTTCAAAGCAAAGAAGTAAGAAGAAATGGCAAAGAACCTCATCAACTCCATCAACTTCACTGTTCTCTTGGTTGTTCTTCTGATGGCTTCAACTGGTATAATTAATATTACTCTTACAAAGTTATGATCTCATTTATGTATTGTACTTTGCACTTGTCTCTTAATTATCTTGTTCTGATGAGTATGTCAACATTTAGGAATCCTTAAGAGCAACGCTCAATCATGTGGTGCGGGTGGATGTACTACGGCCGCTTCACGTGTGTTCCTCGGAGAGTGCCCGAGTGCTCACGGAACCACAAATGCTAATTGTTGTACTTGTTGCATTGGCTTATTCGGTTCTCCTCCAGTTTGCTGGGCGGTTATTGAGGGAACTGACCTTCACTGCCACTGCTACAAAAAGGCTTGAAATAACCTCATCATCATATAAGTACCAAGTGTGACTTTTGTTTCCATTCTGTGTGAGGACATGACATTGGTGTGTGTTTATGTTCAAGTTTCTTTTGCTTTAAAATAAAACATTAAGGGCAAAGCTTATCATTGCTTGCTCTCAAATGCCATCTCATGTTCTGTATAATATACTTGTTTTTTTTCTCTATAATGACTGGCGCAGATACAACGGTTCTCAAAACGCTATGATATCGTTAGATAGCGTTATTCAGATGCTAGGCAAATCCATTTTTCTTGTAGTGTCGATTAGCGAATGGTAATTAATAGTGTTATCTGTGGAGGGAATGTAGAGACTAGGAGAACATCTTGTTCATAACAGAGACCACACAAAGAGATTGCTGAATAGTTCGATGTTTTATTAGCAAAGATACTTGACCTTTAGATAGTCAAGACCAAATAACTCAGTCTTACAACAACTTGAAACAGAAATTGCACGAAACAAACTCAAAACAAACCGAGAAACCCGTTCTACTAATTGACTCCTAAGAAGTCGGAACTTATGGACTAAGAGAATTGACTAAATTGAACCCAACACATCTTTATATCAGCTGTCCCTACTCCACTTAAGTCTGTTCAATACTTACTCAGGATGCTTAGCGACCACTTCACGGCAGAACTAGACTTTATTTACTTATTCACAGGCCCTTCTAATTCACTACTTCTCACTTGTTTGTGTTGATGTATATGCTTAAGCTTGTAATCCACATTCTATGGCGAAAACGAAATAAGAGTGTTTGAAACTGACGGACTCACCGAACTGTGAAGTAGGTTTGCGCTTTTGGTTCTAATATCACAGCCGTTAACTTCTGTTTTTTTTTTGTAATCATTCTCTACACCTGTTAAATTTATTTGACTTTCTTGTTGCATTTTTTGTACAATATTTGTACTTTTGTGAATAAATTTTACATTTATAAAAAAGAAAATAAAAATGCCGTGATTTGAACCGTATCCGTAATCCACCTTAAGTTTGTGAAGATGAAGGATCTTAATAAACACAACGAAAGGCTGCAAAGTGCACATATAATGTTGTATAATTTTTGAATCTAGCTAACAAAACAGGCAACGAGTTTCCTAAAGAAGGAATAAGCTTTGCTTTCTGTTTTGATCAATAAAATCATATTTATTGAGACAAAATATAAAACTTGAAAAGTTTGCGGGGATGAAATGAGGAACATGAACAAACCAAATTTAGAAATGAGAACAAAACAAGAGTACACACACAACATCAATTTATTTTGCAGTAAGGGGTAAAAAGTAGTGATAAACTTTTCCCTTGTTGCTTTATTTGGAAACAAAAGAAACTTGAAAAATCAAACGTAAACACACATTGCAAAAACAACGAAAACATGCACCGGTCACTCTTTTTTGGATCTTTGGTAGCAATGGCAGTGTTGTTCGCTTCCCTCAACAACCCCTTTACATACTTTTTGACCCGGGTATGTGCTTCTGCAACATTCAGTGCAATCAAGATTCGTACCAAGGAATGGGTCTGGACCGCACTCGTCTAAGAACGTGAAGCATCGTGGTTCAGCATTGCTCTTAATGATTTCTGCATGTTAACATATCATCATTAGTACAAGATAAGTAAAAAAGAACGAATAGTAGAGAAAGTACAAATTTATTACCAGTGGTAGCCATGAAGAAGACAATCAAGAGAACAGTGAAGCTAACTGAGTTTATGTTCTTTGCCATATCTTTTGCTTTTTCTTGAACTATAAATGTTGGTGAGACATTTCATATGTGTGCTGATATCTATTTATAGTTAAAAATTCGTAACTTTGTTAGCATTGTTTAAGCTTACCTTTCAGAGATTTTCCCAAGTTCATAATGTCGCCATAATTGTGCATTGTTGTTGTGATCTTATATGAAAATAAAATATGCACTTGACTTAGAATTTTTTTTTTTTTTTTGTGACTTTGACTTAGATAAATTATTACCAAAAGGAAGCTTGTTGTCTTCGTCATCGTTGTAACTTGTAACCACGACTATACATATATATACTAGTCTTAGACCCGTACTTCGTACGGAGAAAAACAATATAAACTCAAAAAAATTAACATGAGCGATTATTTACACCACGTAATTAACTTTCATGTTTTTGTTTTATTTACAGACTTTCAATTTTTGTAGTTGTTTTTACTTGATCATACACATCTTATTTAGTTTTCTATAATCTTGAATAATAAGATTTATAATATAGCTTTTAAATTATGTATAATATGAAAAAGTTATAACTGTACTTATATACAGTTGAAGAAGAATTAAACTGTTTGTACGTAAGGAA